GAGATGGTAGATTTGTTTGTAGATCTGGCACATCATCTGCGTCCACTGTGTCTGCGATTAGCAGAAAACGGTCGAGGACCGTTAATGATTCTTGGGTGGTGAGGGGTGAGGTGGCTGGGGGACCTATAGACGGGAGTGTGATTCCTAGCTTTCTAGGACACATCGTTACCCGTATCTGGGAGGACTAGGAGAGGGCTTTGGATAGCGGCATTTTGAAATGCCAAACCCGGGAAAAGACTTGTAACTTTGTGTAGTTGGGCTGATGGTTGGCCGGAGGAGAGCGAGATGGTCGGTCGATTGAGGGCCATTGGAGTGAGTCACCTTCCTGCCACCATGCATGAAAGGATTGACTCGACGCTGATCACGGCTTTCGTTGAGCGATGGCAGCCTGACACGAACTCTTTCCACCTTCCGTTCGGTGAGATGACGATCATGTTGCATGACGTCGAGGCCATCCTTGGGATTCCCGTAGAGGGAAACCGAGCATCTGTTGTCACAAATGCGGATCAGGCAGCTTACTAGCGGAGCTGTTGGCGGTGGATAGGGCTGCGTTGCACACAGCGACACTTGGTGTGTGGGATCACGGCGGTGTTAAGATCGCAGCTGTTTACAGCGATGTTTGCACCCCACTTCACGTAGGACGGAGGACACACAGCTGGCTGCATATGTTTTTCTTCTTCTCGGGTGTACCTTGTTTCCGGATAAGAGCGGAAACAAGCTCAGGCCGCGCGACATAGTTGATGCGTGTGAGCCCGACAGAGTAGGCCAATTTTCTTGGGGGTCGGCTACATTGGCGTACATGTATCGCCAGTTAGGATTCTCGAGTCGGGCTAATGCGGCAGGTATCACTGGATGTATGACGTTGTTACAGACTTGGATATACGAGTTTTCCCGGCGTTTCGACCACACCGCGACCCGGTTCCTATTGGGGATGGCCAGCCACGTGCCTGTGCGTGGAGTCCGCGTGTCGAGAAGCTAAGAAGTCCATTGACCGCCTGCGATCGATACGGTTATCGCTTGACAGGATGTCCCCATTAGAGGTAAAGTGTTTAAATTATTTCTACTTTTATAGTTTGATGCGTTTATTGTATGAATCTTACTAATTTTAAAAAATGTGTAGGTGAACTAGATGCCTTTCGGCCAGAACCCTAGTAATAAGGTACCTAGGACCCTCTACACGGGACTGATTCAGTATCGTGAGATCGTAGAGGCGTACATGTCGCAGCGCTGTCTTCGCCAGCTTGGATTTGTCCAAGTTGTTCCTCCTCCACCAGCATGGCCTAGTAAGGCGGTCTGATCTGCGTCGTCGAAGGAGTACGTTGTCCAATGACCGACAAGCATGATTGCCACGTGGGAGCAGTTTCCGATGGTTGGCCGCATATGGATTGAGCAGCTGCAGAGGCCGCCTACTGGGGTGACTGCCATGTGTGACCAGCACTACATGGAGTGGTACAACCGGCACTCGCACCCGAGGTTGATCAGAGACCTCCAGTACGGCGACGGCGCCGATGATGATGATGTCCCACCGCCCATTGTCGTGGATGCGGTATGTCTCAAAAAACATTTGTTGTGTTTTTTTTTTTTCATATATTACGTCGTAATTGAATTTTATGTGTTTTGTTGTGTGTAGTGGATGGGAAAGATGACGCAGGTGGCACTACAAATTTTTGAAAAGAGAGACAGCATGACGGATGCAGCAGGCAGAGCGACGATTGATGATCTGGAACGGGCCCTTGAGCAGTGGCAATGGGCGTCACAGAGGGATTATTGATCCGTCGGCAGTGCATTTATATAACATTTTCGTAGTTGTTTGTAAAAGTTGACATTATCTTTTTAGTTTGTAATATTTGAAATTCTTATTTTAAGTTTATAGAATTTGACATTATATTTTTAGTTTTTATAATTATTATTTTAAGTTCTAATTAGTGTGCATACGAAAATTAAATACAAGGTCACATATAAATGGGAAAATTAAATACGAAAATTAGAATACGAAAATTAAATAAATGGGAAAAAAAATAGCAATAACAATACAAGGTCACATAGAAAAGGTTGGTGTACACGGGAAAAAACTAAATGGCAACTAGATTGTTCTACTGCTGAACCCGGTCATGATACAGCGCATCCCAGCCCTCTACGCTTGTTGTACGAATGGTGTACCACTTCGGTATGATCGGTGGGACTGGAAAATCGGGTGACAGGTCCAATTGGATAAAATGTCTGTATGACGGCCCCAGAAATCCAACAGCAACCTCTCTTATCGGTCTGGTGACGGTCTCACGCGAACACCAAGGGAGAACCATAGCAAAGGTGGAAGAATCAATCCAGTCCTTCAGAGCTCTATGAGCGCTCTCAACTCTACATGTGGTAGTGTTTCCAAAATGAAGAACTTGGTTTGTCCAATATTTGACAAAATTTTCCCTCTGAGGCACCCACTGCTGCATCACATAGTCTACGATTGCCGGGCACCATTGGTACGCATCCTTGAAGTTATCCAAGGCTCGGTCGTACTCTGCCTCCGTGGTAGCTTGCAGGATCTTCCGACACTTACCATTTACCAATCTCTCTGCTGAATCTAAGTTCTTGTTGAAAAGGTTGTAGGCTTTGACTTTCACGCAGTTGTTGATGTGTCATGTGCACAGTAAATGGCTTGACTCCGGAAACAGCTCCGCTATAGGGGCAAAGAGACCTCCCTCACAATCGCTGACGATGACCGATGGCTGAACATTTGGGCCGATGTAATTTCTCAACTTCTCCAACACCCAACGGTAACTCGCAGCCGTCTCATCCTTCATGACTGCATAACCAATCAAAAAGTTATGGTTCGTTGGAGTCATCCCAACCATCTCAACCAGTGGGAACTTGTACTTGTTTGTCTTGTACGTTGAATCGATCAGAATCACAGATGGCCAAGACGAAATCATATCAGCACAATCAGGATGCACAAGGAACAAATGAGTCACCTCTGATGTGTCTTCATCAGATTCAAACCAGTACAGGTAACCACGTGCTTGTGCCTGGTGTAGAAGCTGTTGTATAGGGTTCCTTCCCTCTGACCGTTCAAACCTCAATTTCTGTCTGACGTTATAGATGTGTCTTTGGTTTGGCTGGTCTTCAAGAAATTTCTCCAACACAGATGCTAATATTTTAGCAGGCTTCACTTGAGCATCACTCATTTCTTTTACAACTAGTTTCGCAGCAGGACTTAGGCCGCTTAACTGTCGATGACCCACTTCATATACTATCATCTCATGGTTGTGATACCCCCATTTACCGTAACCCTTCACTTCCCAACTGTCACGCCTTTGCTGTTGTCGAACCTTTACTCTGAACTGACACCCACAACCTTTCCGCTTTGTATCAAACCGAATTGCTTGACTGAAATCTCGTTCCTCCCTTTTGCGATAACGGTCGCATCTCAAAATGCGATCCATTCTACTATCCCGTTGAGATTTATGAGTTGCTACTACTAAACAAAAACCTGATCTAATTGCAACCTGCTTCGCCCAATCAACCGCTTGTTGAGCATCTTCGAACAGACCATCGTGTACAAAAATCCCACTATAATCATTTCCGTCTACACCATAATCCTGCAACAATAATATATAAATATAATCACATAAGATTAGATTAAATTAATACATTTGACACAAAATTAGCACAAAAGTAATTTCTAAACTTTAAATTTCTAAATATCATTTCCACTCTTAACGTATAATACATTTAACGTCTAAATTTACACATAATTAACACAAAACTAACACGTAATTATATATAAAAGTATTCACACACATACAAATTAAAACATACATTTGTTTATTAAAACGTGCAATATGAACTTCAAAAAAGTAAATACGAAATAAATAAATAAAAGAATATACTAATAACGGAAAAAAAAATATAAACATAAAAAAATTAACCAATTTGACAAAAAAATATATACATAAACAAAACAATATATAAAGTGCAAAAAATATAACCAAAAACAATAATAAAATATAAACAACAAACAAAGAAATGAAAAACATAAACAAAAAGTATTCACACACAAATTAAAACATAAATTTGTTTACGTTTAGAAATAATTAACACATGTTAAAACAAAATGTCAAACTAAACCATATTTTTGTTTTTTTTTTAAATTATTCACACATTTTTCAAACATAATTTCAAATTAAATATTATTTTTTTAAAAATAAATTATTAACCACATTTAATTCCAAATTTATCAAAATTAAGAAACAAAAAAAAAACCAAAAAATAAAAACAAAAATCAAAAACATAAACAAAACTTAAAATTAAATTAAAAACAAAACAAAAAAAAAATGAAACACAAAAATCAAAAACATAAACAAAAGTTTAAATTAAATTAAAAAAAACAAAAAAAAAAAAATAAAAAAAAAACAAAAAAAAACACAAAAATAAAAAATATAAACAAAAGTTTACATTAAATTAAAAAAAAACAAAAAAAAAAATAAAAAAAAAAACAAAAAAAAACACAAAAATAAAAAATATAAACAAAAGTTTACATTAAATTAAAAAAAAACAAAAAAAAAAAAACAAAAAGATTGTAAAACACAAAAATCAAAAACTTAAACAAAAGTTTAAATTAAATAAAAAAAATAAAAATAAAAATTCAAAACGTGGCAGTGGCGTCTGGCCAGGCGCCACTGCCATGGCACTGGCTTCCCTGCAAGGCGCCACCGCCATGGTGGTGGCGTCCTGGCCAGGCGCCCCACCCACGGCAGTGGCTTCCCAGCAGAACGCCAGCCGCCACTTCGTGATTTTAAACGGCTTCGTACCTCGTTTTCTGGCGTCGACGACGACTCTCCGGTGCGTCTATCCGGCGATGAGGGCTCTTCGGTGTCCCTCGGCGATCCAGTGATCCTCCACATTTTTGGTGAGTGAAAATTTCGTTTTCGGAAAAAATTAAAATAAGGGCAAGAATGTCAAAATTTTTAAAAAATGTCGGCTTTATGTATAAAAACGTGGACGGGTGAATAACAAGTCCTTAAATTGACGTCTTCTATTCCTGTAGTATCTCTTCACAAAACATACTGCGCTGTGTGAACGATCTAACCCAGATTCAAGTAAAATATTCGCAAAACATACTGCACGACTGAGTCATTATCGTTCCACCAAATCAAAACAACTTCAATCCTCCATTAAACAAACAAAGAAAATTCAACTCACTCATTCAAATTTAATCAAACACCATGTTCAAAAATTCCATTTCCATAATCATTTGGTGGGAATCTAAACAACCCCATCAAATTTTTTTCATCTCTCTTTTCGTGGGGTTCAAGAGAGGGAAGAAATTATGGCACCCCTTTTTGAGTATTTTGTAGTTTGTGGAATTGGCCCAGAAATTCGTACTTTAGATGGAAGTAATGGTTATTATGGCATGAATTATGTGTATGAACCTTCTCTTATTGATCAGTACCCTCGTTCTGATCACTCTCTTTATGCTCCTTTACCTCCTGAGCTTCCTATGGTCAGTTGACTCACTTCATTTTTACATTTTTTTTTTGGGTTTTTGATTGGTATTGTTGTTGTGATTTGAGAACTTGATTGGGTTTTGTTGTTGCATGAATTGGTATTGTTGTTGTGATTTGAGAATTTGACGGGGTTTTGTTGTTGCATGAATTGGTGTTTTTATTTTATTTTATTTTATTTTTTTGCTGATTTTTCATGAATTTGATGGAATGTTGATTGATTGGAGTATTGGGATTATTGCATAAAGACAGAGTGGATACATTTACAAGCTTGAATTGTAGAAAAGGGATTATATTGAAGTGGTTGATTGATTGGTGAAGTATTACTTGATTTGCTCTGATTTCCTTTTGTTTTATAAATATGTTCCAAAATTTCTGTGACGCAAACGTAGTGTTAGGGTCTGATGTTGAAACTAGGAGATACTTTAGTTTGATATTGACGTAATGTTAGTGTTCCGTGACAAATGATGTGAGGTTTTCTGTAGTTATAGGTGGTAATGAACTTATAATCAGCAGCCAATTCTCGAATGCTATATACTATGATCATACTCTATACAAAGGAGAATTATGAGGTAATGGAAATTGATTCTTCTTTTGGTGCTACAATTGCAGTGTGTTATGCCCGGCAGGGGTTGAGTTCTATAAATCAGGCTTGGATGCTAATGATCCCCCTAGTTATCCTCGGAGCTATCCCATTGTTTTGACTGGTAAAGTTGTTTAAATTTTTGGTAGCAACAGATTTTATTGCTGTTTTGATGTGCTTTATTTCGAATTTATCTGAGTTTCCCTAGAGCCCTATATTGGTTTTTTTTTTTTTTTTTTTTTTTTTTTTTTTTTTTTTTTGTGGGGGGGGGGGGGGGGGGAGGAAGTATAGGGTACATTTTGCTTCAACATTTGGAAGACAATTGAAATTAAAAAAACAAAAAATATATAAAAAAAAAAATGAGATAAATCATGTCCACAATACTTTGCAGAGTTCATTTTATTAAATATATGTGTAAAAAAAACACCATAAAAAACTCAAAATAAGGGTTTGAGTTTCATAAAATGCAGCTAGGAATAAAAAGAACATTATCTCTTTTGAGTACTTCTCAACAGTTGGTACCCACTTATGTTTCTTGATCTGGCCATTGTGAATGGTCAAAAGGTGAAGGATTTTATTCAGATTTGGCACAAGACATTCCCATATTACTATATCCCATTTAATTAATAATGGTGTGCTGCTCTTGAAATCTGATACTCATTTTCTTTTGAATTTATTTGTTTGGCCACAAGATAATGATGGAGAAATGAATGGAAGGTTCCCTTGAGATGTAAGAGAATAAGGAGAGATTATCATTTCCAGGAAATGTGAAAATGCTTAATAAAATATCCGTCTCACACTTCCCTCATAAATTAAAGACTATTTACAGTGAAGCTTTAGGTTATTCTTGACAGGGTGCAAAAGCCTTAAATTGGTTCATATATATTTTGATTTTCCTGTCTTATTGTAGTACAAAATATAGTAGTAAATAATAATGGAAAACAAATGAAAATTACACGAGTGTAATCAGCCAAAGCGAGAAAGTTTAGAAATGCAATTCATTATAGCCTATCTATTTTAGTAGTGAAGCTTTCCTATGTATATTGTTTCCCCTTACCCAATCATGCAACTTTTGACCATTAACTAGTGTTTCAATTATACATTTAATTCATGACTACATATTTTCTTAATTAAATTTTATTTTTCATATCATCGTTTTTTGCATTTTGTTTTCAAAAGAGAACATGGAATATGATATAGCTTAGTGGTAAGGCATCTAGTGTTTGAACTTGAGGTTGCATGCTCAAATTTTGTCTATACCACATTTACAATTTTTCTAATGCTGACACGTAGACTTTCTTTGGAACACCTTTTAATTTAGTAGAGATATCTTCAAATTTTTCGATCACACTATAAAAGATCACAATTTGAAAATATATTGGGATAAACATCCGGTGAAATTGTGCTGAGTTGTTGACGATTCCTTTCACATGTGTAAATGGATAAGGGGTTTGTTCTCAATGTAATTTCTCAGCTGCCTCTTCGTAGACTACTTGATGTATATTGTTATTGTAGTTAGCGTATTGAACTTGTAATTTTCCTAAAGGACTTGCCTTTTTATTTATTTATTTATCTTCTTTTTTTTTTTTTTTTTTTTTTTTTTTTTTTGTAACTTTGTGCTTTAGTTTCTTCATTAATTCGTGTTTGCATCTTTTTCAGCGGGTGATGGGTCCAAAATTTATGTTAGCTGTATTGCTTTCCGGGATCCTGTTGATGAGGACATTGGTGAAGCATATGGTATACCACTGAACTCATTTGCTGGAAAGTGTATTTCTCTGGTTTCACGAATACCCTGTTTTTGTGTACTTCGTGATGCACTCGAGGAGATATTTGCTCTTTGCTTTTCTACTAGAGGAAGTTGGTGAGTGGGTTGTGAGGGTAAACTTTGATTGATGCTATAACATCATCCATTTCTAGTTGAATTGTGTGGGATAGGCATTTTTTTCTTTTTATAATGCGGAACAGACGAACAACCTCATCCACATATTACTTTCAGATCTGACAAGTAACTTTTGGAGCTTATGAAAAACTTAAATTCTTTTGTATATATCTCGTTTTGTCAACTTTGACTTGAGCTAATCATTTATATTTCAGCAAGCCACTTTGGGAGGTTATAGCGGCTACAGTCTCCAAAGTTCCTCTGCCCACACCAGGAATTGATAGAATCTTGTTTGCAATTAATAACTGCTTGTTCTCTGTTGAGGCTCCTCCAGAATACGGGCTTCCCCCTGCCGATGTATGAATTTATAGAACTTTATTCCTCTCTTATAGACTATATGCATGACCTATCTTTTTCTGTAGCTTATTTATTAACAAATATTCAGATGTTGCAAGTTTACTATCTTTGACAAATGTCTACTCAATTTATGCAGGTCTCCTTTAAGTCATTGATAGAATCCCTGGATGTTCATAACATAATTATACTTTTTACAGCAGTATTGCTGGAAAGAAGGATCTTGCTTCAATCAGATAAGTACGTGATTTGCTACAAAAATTGAAAGTTATATTCTCCCTCATTATAATAAGGTTAACAAAATAAGAAGATAAGTTTTGTAACAAAAATAAAGATATGTGCTGACAAGTTTGTGATAATCAACAATTAACAATAATGAATAATGAATAATGAAGAACAAGCAAGCAACGAAACAAAGAAGATTTTAAACTAGGAATCCGAGTGCCAGGAGAAAACCCACCAATCCACTGTAAAACCTTGATGATGATGATGAATACAAGCTCTCAAGTACATCTTGAACTTCACACCTCTCAATTTTCTCTCTCTTAAACCTTAAGACTATGAGCAACTACAAGACTCTATTTTTATCTCTTTAATCTTCCATCTTTCATCATATTGTCCTAATAATGATTTAACATGAGTATATGCTAGCGTGCTAGGCATAAGAAACAATTCTACAGTCACAGATAAGTCATGCAGCTAAAATCGCAAAACCGCAGAAAATAGGGGGTGGAAGTTCACGCGGAGCCCAACTTGGGTGTGGGTGAACTTCTAGAGCTTGGATCGTATGATTCCATTTGACTTGTTAGTTGTGACACTGCAATTTGATCCTTTAAGGTACATGCAAGTAATTATCATCATCAGTTACTACATAGGGATAAGATGTTTATAGCGTCGATTCATAGTAATAAGAGATGTAGATTGAAAAGAATGATAGAGAAGTAATACTTGTGATGGAATGGAAAGGGGCACGACTAAGATTCTTAAAGATTGAAGGAGCATGTGCCATAAGTTATGTTTAGTCACAGTGTCAAGTATCAACATTAGCCATCTAGCTGTTGTAATTGAACTAGCCAAAAGAGGTTGAGTTGTAGATGGGGCAAAGGCCTATATAGATATTAAAAAGTGAATAAAACAAGACGAAGAATTAGACAATTTGTGGGAGGTATATTTATTTCTTATCCTAATTTGACATATCCATCATATTTTCTTTTTGTCTTTTGTAATAGGTACACGCTGCTGACGCTTGTGTCTGAGTCTATATGTCATCTAATCTATCCATTTCAGTGGCAGGTATGTTTTACAATGCTTTGGTCATTATTTGATATTCACCTTTAAAGGAGTTGATATGTAACTTGCCTGTGTTTTATTGGTGCCATTCTAGCATTTCTTGTCGAGAAGATAACAACACAACTCTCTCTCTTTGACCGTCAAAAGTTAAATGGTTGTACTGTTGTTTTAGAAATGTCACTTGCTCATAAACATTTTAGAGATAAAAATTTGCTGTTGATTATAGTGAATGCATTCCTCATCATTATTGATAAGTAGATGGTCAGCTGTTCACAAAGAAAAAATGGAAACTTAAGCTTATCAACAGTTTATTTTCATAGACAAATACTAATTTATCATTGTTGTTATTATTTTTTTATATACTTAATTTTAATTATAGGTATCACAACTACCTGCTACATTGTGTTAGAACTTAGAAGAACTGGGCTGATGTTGATATTGGTATATGTTGTTTTCTTAAAAACTATGTCAGACGTTTCCTTTAAATTTAATAGAACTCACCCATTTTTCATTTTATAATGACTGACTTATGGGTTATAACTGTAAGGTGGATCTGTTAATACACCCATTTGCGAGGCTCCATGGCCTCATGGGTCCTGGAAAAAGGGTTTCTATTCCTTAACTTGTTTAACTTCTTTCTCAGAGACTGTTCTTTATATATATATATATATATATATATATATATATATATATATAGTCTTCTACTTTTCTTAGTGCTAGTTGAATGGGATTTGTGTTTTCTTGTTGTTGAGAAGTGAGTACTCAAACTATAAAGCCTTCAATTATGCTTAGTGTAATCTTTCTAATATAAAATATCATAATCACTGATTTCTAGTTTCTCTTATAAAGAATGTCTACATTCCGTTACTCTTCTCAAAAGGAGTGGACTACGTTGATGCTCCAACTCCATATATCATCGGCCTTCATTCAAATGTTGATACATCTGGACTTTCAATGGATGGTGTAAGTTGTTATTATCGAATGCAGTTCCTTTTCTCTACTACAATTACCCCAAGGCCTCTGTTTTTCTTGACTTATTAGTGACTTTAAACAGTTCAGTACTAAATATTTCGTTTCTGAGGAAAATTTAAAGCAGATTTCAGTTTCTTGTATAGGTTGTTACTGTTGATATTGATCATAACTGTATCTCTACGTCAGAGGAGATACCTCCAATACCCGAACCAGAGTTAAGCTTGTTGCATGCTGATATAAAAAAGCTATTGTATCCAGATATGATGTGTATAGACGAGGTAAATACTGGCTTTGGAGAACTATATATGAGAAGCCCTAAAGTTGGTGCCAAACCTTGGGGAAAGGACCATGACCTTCAACTAAGGTGATATTACCATTCCCAATAAGGTGCTTATTAAATAAAATGAATCTAGAAAACTTTCTTTGGTAGTGTTGATTTGTTGAACTCTTGAGTTTCCTCTGTAATTTTATTATATCTTATCATTATCAAATCAAAGCTTCTCAACCCAGGAAACAAGTTCCTTTCAATACTATATTTTCATGATTAAGATGCTTTAATATGATAATAGTAAGATATCATACTGTAAATTTGCAACTTGATTTACATGTTAATACTTTTGACATATAATCTGAGTTTGAAGCATCAGTTCTGCAAATGTCTGCTTGTTTTTGTCTCATTTCTCAAACATGCCCACTTGACTGTGTCTCTAAAGAATAGAGTTTTAGTGTGGAAATGTCTTATATACTGTATGTGAATTGTTCCTGATGCTTCATTATTTTCTGTTTCTGATCGTTCTCAATGGTAGAAACCTTGAAGTGATTCAATGATAGTTTCATTCAATTTATCGCTCTACTGCTATTACCATAGCTGTCTGATTGGATATTATTGACTCTGGATTCCATCTTGAATTTGAGCTGTAAATGAAACTATGAAAGCCAACAGAAGCATCATTTGTGGTGATGCCTAAACACTTTTTTTTTTCACCTCCACTAAAGTATCATATTATCATTTGATATTTTAACATCTTGAATATTATTCTATTTAATTCTTTGAAACTGGTTATATGTTTAGAGAAAAAGTAGAATATGTCACATAGTGAATAGAGTATGTAAGATATGCAGTAGATCAAGGCAAGGGTTGTATTATTGTGGTGCTCTTTAGATCTGATTGTTGCACAGTTCATTTGAGAATCTTGTTCTAGTTGTATTGTTAGTAATTTGGATATTCCTTACATATTTGAATGATTTATATGTGTTTGATAAGACATCAAGCTAATACGTGCCTCGGCTCTGTATTTTGTATTGGCTTATGCAGGCTTATATTCCTGAAGTTCTTTGCTAGGATTTTATCGGGATACCGCAATTTCATTGTATGATTTGTACTTCCAACATGTTTGTCTATCTTTCTCTTTCTACACAGTTCTACTGTTTAATATGTCTCATGAGTGTCTGAATCTAGAATGTTATGAGTAGCTCTCAGGACCACTGTTTTAAACTGCAGAGATTGCTCTTGTTCTGTCTCAGGTAAATAGCACAGAATGTACCTTTGATGCTCAAGCATTTACAATGCATTGGTGTCGTTCAAATAATCAAGAGCCAGATCCTATGGTTTGTTGTTTTGCTTTGGAATCCCTTTTTTTTATTCTTATTTATTTGGCTATTACAAATCTTTAATTAAAGTTGTTATCAAAGTCCTACTTTTATTTTTTCCTTTTCTTAAGAGTTATTCCACTGCCAAACATTCCATCTTTGTCATTTGATTCTTCTGATTGCAGATATATACTTGTATATCTTTTGTGGCATTATTTTCTCCAACATGGGGGTAGTTCAATACTTGTGTAAGTTGCGGTATTATTAAGACCGTCTTGTACATACTGTAAAATGGTAGAAACTGCATAAGTGCCTGTAATGTGTTATTTCATTACATCTTCCTGGATTCTTGTCCTATGAGAAATTGAAGCTTAAAGACAGATTAAAACTTGTGCTTTGATGCCTGTATAGATATATTATACCTTACAACTTTATCTATTAAAGGCAGACATAACTACATAACTTTGTTAGAATATATAAGCACTTGTTCGTACTTGGAGACTGAGAGGCTAGGAGGGGCAGGTTGACCATAAAATCAGCTCTTCAGAGTTCTTTTTTCTTTTTTTTTTTTTTTTTTTTTTTGGTAAGCCGTGCTTCGTCTACTGATATACCTAAGCACCCATCTATAAGGGTTACTCACATCAAGCAAACATGGTAACAGGTGTTTTATAGAGGTAGAAATAGCTATAGAGAGGTAAAGTGGATCTAAGAAATGTAATAAATAGGGTAAGATGACAATGAGGAAAGCATTTTTGAAAGTTGTGATTGTGCTTGGTAAGGAAAAAAGTCAGCTGGTCAAATGATGATAGATATTTCCCTGTTTTCTTAACATCAGTATTAGTTTTTTTCCTTTATTGTGTGCATGTTGAGAGTAGGGTCAATCATCTATTTTATTCTCCATTGTGAACTTTGAGCTTTTCTATTACATATTGCATAGTTTAGATGAGATCACTGTAAGATGCTGGGTTGAAGAGCATTTTTATAGCTTATGCAAGAGTTGTTTTCCCATCTTGTTCTGACTATTCTACACTTCTTTGGTCTTCCTTTGTTCAATTGGAGCCTCACTTTTTCATTTAAAAAAATATATAGTAGACTACTAATCTAGATTTTAGATGTAAGAATAGTGAGGAGAGTGATTGCTAATGTTGAAGATGAATTTTGTTTGATAGTAGCTTAGATCTTTGAAAGTGAAATTAAGGGTGTGGAATAAGGAAGCTTTTTCTCCATGGACTTCACGATTTCATGAACTTTAGATGTTAAATATGACCCATAAAAACAAGTTACCTCCCTTTTTCCCTTACTTCGATGCAACATAGTGTTTGAATAATACTAAGTTAGATTGTTAGCCAACTAAGTTTTGATTCTCCCCCTCCCCTCTCAAATTGTTTGCTTATCACTTAGTATTTCTTACTGACTCTACCTTCCCCTGTAAATTGTTTTAACGCTTCTATGTATGTTTTGATGCTCATTAAACTATAGTAGTATGTAATACTCTACTGAATGAGGTCTGCATTGCACATCTGCACTACGAATTCTTCCTGACATTACTAAAAACTAAGACATCATAAGATTGACTAAAGGAAACTTTTGTTAGTTTATTTATCTGTAGAATTCCAGAGCTGTCACAGCTATGTATTCTCATATTGAAAATTGCTGTTTATAACAGGTAGCTGAATTTCTACTCTCTCAAGGGTTTTCTAACCACATAGAAAAAGTTTTGTCATCTGGTGAAAGCAATGACAACGTCCTTGATAAGTTGATAGATGCAATTGGGAGAGGTGAAAGTCTTATGTCTGTTTATCCATCATCTCATTCAGACTTAATTCTTATAACCATACCAGATCCTATAGACGGAGTTATAGGTACTTTATCCAATCTAATTCGTAAATGAATGACTTAGCCAGTAAACTACTGCTCATAAGTTGAAGGTTTAATGTACATTTCTTATTGTGTAGGTGGTGCTAAATACACATATTCTAAATTTCCTGCTAACATTAGAGGAGAAGGGGAAGACGAAAAGAGGAAGCAGATCCTAAAAGACATTAAAGACAAAGATGTAAGATCCATGATTAAAAGGGTTTACTTGCACAAAACGTTGCAAAATTTGAGCATTTTTTCATTGGTTGCTTTTACTATAAAACCCAAAATTTATCTTGTTTACAATGAGCCTCCCTTAGTTTTCGACTTTACCTTTGATGAATAACTAAAAATACTGTTAGCCAGTTCATAAGAAGTCATATGTAGTTTTTTTTCTTACAACTTTGGGATCTGGTTATTTCTTATTTTTCAATTTAAATAACTTATCTAAGGCTGCACATTGTAAAGGATACATCAAAAGAAGTTGTTTACGCCTAAACGAATGCAGTTTTAAAGTGTTCATATTAGTTACTATATAATTGCAATAATTGGTTTTTTATAAAATTTGGTCACAGGATGAGGAGAAAGGATTGATCTTGGACATAAAAGTAAAGCTGCAGGTAATTCAAAAAACTTCTTGGTCAAGCCAAACTCACCAGGGACCTGTTCGAATTTTCCCATGTAGCTTTTGTTGCATGAATATTCTCTTTGACTCATAAATCATAATATCGACAGTTTATGTGCATTTATTTCTATCCAGCTGTGATGATTATATGCGGAATTAAGCAACTGATTGCAGGGAGGAAAATTACAGTAGTTGCTGTTGGGGATTTTAAGTAAAAATAAGCTTTAAGGTTTACAAAAGACACTTTCCCTGGCCATATTGTGAAACATGACATAATTGTTTAGTAATATCTAGCCCTTAATAGTAAATATATTGCACAATTATTGTTTAGCCAGTCTAGATCACTTATGATTACATATGATCAATTTTGATTACCCTTAACTAGATTATATTTAAATTAATTTAAAGAAGTGCATATAAATGAATGGGAAAATGAGTACATCCTCAAGTCCATACTCCCTCCATTTTTCTTATAATGCATCACTTGGTGATGCGCGGAGTTTTAGGAGTAATATAATGTTGTGAGTGAGTGAATAATTTATTATAGTAAAAGTAAGATAGGGACCATGAAAGAGAAAGTATGTGAGAGAGAGTAGATGTGTTTATTATTTTAGTTAATGTGACTAAATTGTATAAAACCTGAAAAATGTTCCTCTATGCCTACTGTTCTGAATAAATCTCTTTAGTTTTTCCATAATGTCATGGTCGAAAATGTTTTCTGTGATGTTAATGTCATTACTTTCTGATCTAATGTGCAAGAGACTATACACTTCCTCCGTTTTTTAATACTTGCAACACTTTCTCAAAGTGGAAATGTCACAATACTTGCAACACACTGTAACTGTTTTTTTTTTTTTTTTTTTTTTTTTTTTTTTTTTTTTTTTTTTGGTGGAATAATTTACCCTTTTTAAAGCTCATGACCCACTTAATTATACTCCTAACAATCTCTCAACCCATATTAAGTGTTTTATATTTTGTGAGACCCACTTTTTTAAATACCGTGAAAAAATGTGTGTTGCTAGTATATAGTGTTCCTTTATTCTGTTGCTCCCTAACCCTTGAATCCTGGCTCTATAGGCTAAATTATCCTGGGTTAAAAGGTTGTTGTGATTCAGGTTGTAACTATGTTGTGGTTGTGTTAATCAGGGATTGTGGATTTCTCTTCTGGATCTTGGAGATGCAGATGTCATTCTTTCATCTGATGAATATGAGACAATTCTTGGTATGTTTCCTCTCAACAAGTCAACAGTATCGGGTAAGACTTTTGAAGCCAGAACTGATTGGTTATGGTTTACCATATTTGCAGCTTTACTTGAGACGGATGCCAAAGGAATTGTTGGTAGAACCTTGATTGAATGTATAAGAGATCACATGAGTGCTGTAAGCATTTATGCAGAATATTTTCCTGGATTATAGTCCAGATAATGTACTCATACTTTGTTTTTATGTTGTCAAGGGATGGAATGGTCAGTTGTCCGAAGAACAGTTTGTTGCTGTGAAAGAAATGGTAATGTTTTTTGTCTAAATTTTTACATACAATTGGTGAGCAAAAATTGTAGATTTCAAGTCATTGCTCATCTTTCCATCTATCCCTCATTACACTCGTGTCAAGATTGTTTGTTTGTGTTTGTGTGAGAGAGGTGCTTTTACATAAAATATAAGAGAGACTAGATAGTTATCGAAAATCTTGCTCAATTATGGCTTGCAACCGATTCTACCCTGTTTCTCTTTCTTTTGTATATATTTTTGCTCAAGGTGGCTATTTACTTTGTGAGTTTTAAATTTCAGGTTAAAGAACTTATTACATGTGCAACCTACCAAAACGACATGCCAACTTTGAGAGAGGCGCTTGAAGTTTCAGCGGAGATGTATAGGAAGGATTTCAATAACGTTTCAGACTACGTCCAACGTCATCTCATTTCTTTATCCATCTGGGAGGATACAGGGTATGTATTTTATCCCTGATAAGTTTACTAATACTGTTGATGTCAAATTAGTTTCAGGCTAGGGTGGCAGACTGTATATTGTAGTCAAGTGCATAGTTGATACTTCTGTTGTTCTTTGAACATTGTAATGCCTCTTTATGGGATTTTCAAATTTATTGCAGCGTTTCCTTGTTTGCACATGATTTCCCTCTGCTCTCCTCATAACATGGTGCCTTTCATTTAATATCTCTCTCACTCCTTACCACATGGGCTCCTAAATATCATGCGTCCCTTACATATTGCAACACATAGAGATCTTTTGCCATACACTTACTCTTCAGCCATTTGATTTGTCTATCTTAATGTCCTAATTAATCTGTCTAGACATGAACACTTCAAATTTAATTGGCTCCAGTTAATTTTAAGCTTTAATTAAATCAGTCATCTATGTGTTTATTTTTTTTTTCTTTCTTTTTATCGTCATTTATTTTATTTTATTTTATTTTTCAATTTTTTTTTATTGTTATGTGTAAACTAGGTTCCAATACACATTAACATAAGTAACATATACAACGATTGGTAAATTAATTTGATAAACATGTACTTACGGAGAATCAAGTTTTGAGCTTTCTTGGAGAAAAGATAATCTTTTGTAGCTTTATTATGATTGAATTATTTTAAATAAATACTCCCTCCATCCCAGACTTGTTCACACAATTTTCATTCTTGTCTGCCCCTTTATATTGAACACTTTATTTGGGAAATACCTCATTATTATTTTATATCTACTTTTTCAATAAATAGTACCCCTCTATCTCCAATCGCATTCACTTTCCTATTAAATAACAATTGATAATGTCTCAACTTATCACCTAAACTCTATGCCCAAATAAGTGTTCCAACTATTTTGAATGGAGGAAGTAATAGTTTAAGTAGGAAGCTGAGAAAATAGGAAATTTTTTAAGGAATTTGTTGCATTAAGAAACGTTCAATTAAAAAATTTCTGAGATTAATTTAACATCAGGAGAATTTTGAACACAGATTGGATTCATCATTTAAGTAGAATTCTGAGTTTTGTGACAGTAATCTTGTAAGAGTGGCGGTTTCTTGTGTCATATCATTTTTTTCTCCTATTTTTTTTCCAAAGTTGGGAGAAAGACTTGTATGGTTGGCATATGCATTTCTGTATTTATCTGAGCATGTCCTAATTATACATGTAGGCATGTAGCTGGAAGCTGCAATGTAATAAATGTTGGTTTAAGTTTAAACAGTTAAAATTTGACACTTTTGAAATGACATGGGCTGGAGATATTTACAGAGAGCTTAAGAAAGATGATGAGACCCTAATATTTATTAAAGGGTATGATTGTTTTTGAATAATCCCTTTTTATTTTTTATTTATTTTAAAAAATCCTGGTAGTCCCCAATACCCTATCTTTTTTCAAATTCTTAGATTTGTGCTTATTAGATAGATATAGACTGATATGAGGGACTCCTAAGTTAACTAATTATGGTGTTTTCCTATGATCACGAGGTTATTTGAAATAAATATGTCAAACCAAGGGAGATTTCACCTCAATTAGTGCCTCCTAAACAGATCTAAATTTTATCTATAGTTATCTTACGCTTTTCCTGATGAGATGTAATATGGGGGATGGTTCATTTCTGATAATCATTTTGATGTACTCGTCCTTTTTGTGTAATTGTGTGATCATTTTGCAGGTTTTGGGAAGCATTCTTTGAAAGTTTGATGGAGCAATCTTTAAGCAAGTAAGTTCTCCATCTTTTCATGATCTTTTTGTGATTGTTTTCTTTGGAAGTAGACCTTCCTTTGATCTCTTTATCATCTCTAGTAAATAATTTTATTTCATCATCTGCTTACGGTTGCAGCTAATATGTTGAGTACAAGAAAACTGAATTTGTAGCTGCCCTTTTTGCTCTTTACAGTAATAAACTAACATTTCAGAATCCAAAACTGAATGTGCTATATTTTTTTGGCAACTTATAATCCATTAACATTTCAAAATTAACTTATATGCTCCAACATGTCTCTCTGGAATTCTTTCATGGTATTAAACTGCCTGATAATGTGGCATTACAACAAAAATATTCATTTAGTGAGGCCTTCAAGGCTGAAATATAGCTGGAACTGTCAAATAGGTTCATTTCGGTTGGATAAATTTAATTTTATGTTGGGTTTGAATTTGGGTTGATTTTGGGTCAACTCCACTTAGTTGTTTTAGTTAGTTCTTTGGGATTCTGGCAGCCAAAAGTTTGCTCAAGACCATGGTAATTGGTTATAGATCTCGAATTATAGTCAAGCCGATATTGTTGTTATTCTTATACAAATTTATACTTTAGATTTTGTAATTTACAAATATGTTAGCCATAATATATAATGATAAATAAAATACTTAGATATGTTGAATCAAAAGAAAAATATATTTAGACCTATATATTAATTATATTTGTATTTATATCCAACTTGCATGTGAAAAATATTAACAATCACAATTTTTATTATATTCTTATTTGTTTAAATTCATATCAGACCAAAATCAGATCAAAAAAATAAGTTTAGATAAAATTAGATCAGAAAAAATAAGTTCAAGTAAAAGCATTAGATTGAAATCATTTCAACCACCGCCCCGCATGAGAGACATGTGTACTCAATTGGTTGTAGTCTTTAAAACATGAAATAGATCTTTCTTTAACTTTTTATAACTCCTAAAGAGAATTCTGATGGCATGGATCTCCAATTAGATGAAGCTGATGCCATGTGACCGATGTAGAGAATGAAATATTCGTTTTCCTTCTGGTTTATATCCTGCCTTTAAAATTAACTAATTCCACAATGTTTATGGTTCAGGTCTTCCAGTAATGAGAGCCTCATTATGTCACAACTGATCTTGATAGCATCACATATGGTACTTGTAAACATTTTGTTTTCACTTGGTAATGCGAACTGTATTATTAACTGACCAGATATGTAATTTTTTCTGTTTACATTCAATTGGAAGGGTGGCTTGGGTATGGCTGATATAGATGCGTGGCCAATTATACAAAGTATAGCGCAGAAAAATGTCGGTTATGACCATTATGTGAGTGCTTTCAGTTTCTGTAATGTCTTCTTACACCATAGCCATTAAATTCCATTTGCATGTATTAGCCAGTCATCTGTTCATTCCTAGGAACGGTAAAATAACACTATTGGGAAAAGTGCTATGATCATCTAGTATTCTGATTGTTTGGAAGGAGTATATATCCATTATTCTCTTGCAGTCGTTTTGACAAGACTACCTGCATAAAATCTCACTATTCTACTTTTTAAAGAAACTTTGATCCCTTAGTCTGTTTTCCTATTCATACATCAAAGTATCAAACCCATCATTATCATTTTCTTCCAGTGTATTTCTGGCTTTCAAGTTTTAACCATAAGTTCCAGATATTTGTTTTTTCTGTAGGTTATTCCCATCAAGCATTTTTCAGAAGCTTATGCATAATCTTGAGAATCAATTAATCATCCGATATGAGCTAAATGTTTTAAATTGTTTCAGATACAACTTAGAGGGTACCTTTCATATATTCATCAACTACAAATGGTTTACTGGGGGATATCGGATTTAAAGGCTCAATCATTGTCTTCTTCGGGTTTGCAATCCCCTCATTTTCGAGATGCTACAGTAGACAATCAACCTTCCAAGGCATCTACTATCGCAAAAAATTGGGTCAGGAGCATGTTTGGGAGGGAATCAGTGCTAAAAGTAAACTCTTTCAGCCATGCTCGTGGTTGGACATTTGAAACTGAAACAGCAGGTATTGCCACACTCATTCCTCAAGTGTTGTTTATTACTGTATTTATTAATCCAGACATTAATGTTTTTTGTGACAATCATACTTCGTTCTATGCCAGCTGTAACTGAGATTGGTACACCCCGCAAACAAAATTTTCCAAACTCGGGACTAAGGAGAAGTCAAACAAATGTGCGAGTTCTTAAAGGCCATCATAAAGCGATTACTGCTTTACATTGTGTCACAAGAAGAGAGGTTTGGGATCTGACTGGTGATCGTGAAGATACAGGCTTCTTTATAAGTGGAAGTACTGACTGCTCAGTAAGTTAATTAATTGTTACATTTTGTTTTGGAAAAACTCCCTTTTAAGACTGATATTCTCTCATGGTTCTTGCTAAAGTAACATTCATATTAGAGCCAATCTCTAGATTTGTTCCAGATATAGTATTGAGATGATTTACTTATTACTACAAGTTGCCTTTTTGGGGCATGCATCAACTCCCAATATTGTTTTTATATTTAGTGACTGTATTTACAAGACTTTCTCCTCCACATCACCCTCCGAAGATGGGGATTGGAGAGTTGAAAAAAATAATATAAGTGCCTTGTGCCAATAAAATTGACAAAAGCATTTTCTGGTATTTATTGATTATTGTGTTAATCTTCAAATCCATATTACTTAACTAATTGAAAAATATTCAATTATTAGAAACAGAAAATTTTATGGAGAAAATTAATCACAAGGTTAAAAATGATAACCATATGAACGGTAATAAAACCGATCAAGATTAATCCAAATTCCATGAAGTACATAGTGCATAATTAACTTTTTACATTGCTCATCTTTCACAATCTTCTTCAATATCCAGGTTAAGATATGGGATCCTAGTCGTCATGGTTCTGAACTTCGCGCAACGTTGAGAGGTCATACAGGGTAATCAACTGACTTCTTTATCTATCTTTTGTTTTCTTCATGCTAGTTGCATCACAGTGTGAAAAGGAATTTATTTTTCCTTGAAGATCTTATTTCCTCCAAAAGTTGTGTTCCTTTGTAGTTATACTTGTCATCCTTGGTCATGGCCAAATTTGTTGTCTATATTTCTTTCTGTTTAACAGCATGCTCTCTTTCCAGTGCTGTCCGTGCAATAAGTTCCAATCGAGAAAAGGTGGTATCAGGGTCTGATGATCTGTCTCTTGTGATCTGGGATAAACATGAATTTATCCCTCTTGAAGAGCTTAAGGGGCATGAGGCACAGATCAGTAGTGTGCGCATGCTCTCAGGAGACCGTGTCCTTAGTTCTGCCCATGACGGAACTGTCAAAATGTGGGATGCCAGAAATGGTAGTTGCATAGCTACAGTTGCCCGTTGCCCAGGTTCTGTTCTTTGCATGGAATATAATGATGCTACTGGAATCTTGGCTGCTGCTGGTAGAGATAATACTGTGCACATATGGGACATCCGTGCTGGTAAGCAAGTCCACAAACTATCTGGCCACTTGAAATGGATCCGTAGCATCAGGATGGTGGGAGACTCTGTGATTACTGGAAGTGATGACTGGACTGCTAGAATTTGGTCAATTTCAAGAGGTTCTTGCGATGCAATTTTGGCAAGTCATGGGGGGCCAGTTCTGTGCGTTGAGTATTCAGCTTTGGATGGAGGAATTATAACAGGATCTGATGATGGCTCAGTTAGATTCTGGGAAAATTCTGCGTACAACATCGAATGTACTAAAAATATAAATCTTCATAGTTCTATATTGTCTATTAATGCTCAAGAGCAATGGTTGGGGATTGGGGCTGCAGATAATTCTATGCTGCTGTATCATCAGTCTCAGGATAGATCAGGTGGGTGGCAGCTGTACAGGACTCCACATTTTTCAGCTTCCGTGGTTAGATGTGTTGCTTCAGACCTTGACCGGAAGACAATCTGTAGTGGAGGACGTGATGGTCGACTCAGGCTATGGGATGCTACCGTCAGTATCTAACAGTACACTGATTTTTGAATTTTGCTAGTTCGGCTACATTTGTAGTTTTGGTGGAAGTAAAAATCAGTTTTCAGAGGAAAACTAGCAATTGCAAGAAAGGTTTTTATGGTTTGGCGACTAACACTCCCTCCCTAAAACCTATGCATGAAGAACATGATGATCTTGTAACTCTTATAAAGGATTGTACGCTTTGTTTTCGGGTATGGGAGTTAGTGAGTTACATTAACGTCCCATCATTTGGTATTGTTGAAAATCTATGCAGTGTTAGTTGCGCAGAGCCAAAGTGAATACTATGCAAATTATCCTTTCATCTTCTTGTGATGAACTGGTTTCGGTTGTCCTTACTACACGACCTGCTGTTAAGTTTAAAAATTGAAGATTTGCTTTTTACACACTTGTATATTTGAGACGTGATAAAACTTATGTAATTATTCATATTCAAAAAGTAATTTACTATATATGATCAAAATTCAATCGTCTTTAAAATGGCTACCAAGATGGCTACCACTGTTCAATGTTGATTGGTTTATTTATTCTTTGTTGGTCAAACTTAAATAAAAATGTTTTTTTACAAAAATCATTTTTGGTTATGAAATTACAGAGAAAGAGGAAACTTGGGGGAGAAAATAGATTGATATTCTTATTTCTGAATGACGTGGGAGTACATATATATATACATGTGATATAATTAGGGTTACCTTGTAGTATAATAAGTCTAGTATATCTAGAATATCCTAGAATAATCATAAGGGTATAATGGACATCCACTAAATACATATATTATATAACACTCCCCCTTGGATGACCATTATTGAATAGTGTGCCTCGTTAAAACCTTACTAGGGAAAACCCGATGGAATAAAAATCTAGTGAAGGAAAAAGAGTACAACACTATATCGTAATACGCCTTGACATATTACCTCGTTAAAAACCTTACCAGGAAAATTCAATGTGGAACAAAACCATGGTTAAGGGAAAAAGAGTGCAGCGCGTGCGTATTTTCTCCTCCTGATGAATGCATAACTTGAGATCTTCCAACGTAATGATCCAATGCCTTAGTAACTTCACACTTGTAGCTGAATATCATTACATGATAGTTGATCCTCCTTGATATAATCAAACTTGAATCTTCTAATCTTCACCGTGAGACATCTTCATTTCTCCACACTTGTGAGAACAATATCTATGTTGCGTTTACCACTATTATCTTATATGACATTTTTGTTTCAAGTTGCCTTACCATCAAAATTATACCTACTTCTGGAGGTCGTTAAAGTAGCTATTGTTAATCAAATGTTGATGATATAATTTATGGCAACTCATGATATCTTGATACCATTATCTAAGTTTATATGAATTAGTAATATATAACATAAGTAATTATTATATACTTTACTCATGGTTCTTCTGGACCTTAAGAAGATTATCCTTACTGCAATGTAGCTCATTACTATTCTTCTTAAGACATTTTGCATTTTATACGGGAGTTTTCCAATGAATATAAAAATCGATTAACTCTCACTTGGTTAAACTTCAGGTTGATATTTCAAATAACTTAGTCACCAATACTCTCCATGAGTTTGATAACAATATCAACATTGTCATTTTTCAGAATATAGAATTTGTAGGGCTAGATATTTGAATACGTTGTATATAAGTTCTGCGGGAACTTTTCATGCATGATTCATAACATGTTATTGGATCGTCATCATATAAACTTTCATCACAATTATAAGCCCATCAGAGTATAAATTTCTTCTTGTAAGCCTTCATCATAATTACAAACTCGTCATACCATAAACATTCACATATAACACAATTGTTGTATAGAACTAATGCATGCAATATGAGATGTAGAATTCATAATAAAACATAAAACAAAATATATATGTAATGAGTAATGCATCAAACTACATCCTATACATAAAATGAGTAATTCATATAAAACTCAAACATGCACATAAATAAAAGACTCAAAAATGCAAACACTGTACAGTGTGGATTTCAGAAATCCATTTCCTAATTAGACTACTAGTCCATGATAAATTTTTGATTTATTATCTTAGTTTCATGTCGACATCCAAATGGACATATGTTTCTGATCCCTTATTTACTAGTCCATTCTATCATGCATATGCATTATTTTATCGGTTCCATCATATACCGGTATCATCATATACCTCAAGGTACAATTTTACTTTACATGCTATTTTGACAATATGTTTCTCATTGGTACCATCATAACTTCTCTTACATCATATGCCATCTATTGTAATTATTCAGATATCTATACCACTTTTGGGGCATTTCATACGCTATAGTATTTATATACTATTACAATATTAAAAGTGTTAACTGCACTATCTTGCCACATATCATATCTTTATTTTGGAACCGATCATACAACCCACACTTCAGGTGCAGTGATTCAAGTATAATTGGCAAGATTTTATCTCAATGTATAAACATAATATGACCAAAATGTATCTTCAACGCTATGCAACCTGAGTCATAACTGAATACAAATTAAATCATAAATGTGCAACATATCTTGATAATATATAGACAAAGTTGGCATATAACTTTTCAAACTACAACTATAGGGATCATCAAATTCTTTTCGATTTTCTAACTTTTGCTGATTCTTCTCCCCCTAAGTTGGTAAAATATCTCATTTATAGGGGCATCTAATTCTATACCAACTTAGCATTGCATTAAAATTCATTTCATACGAGGATCATAATCAAAATTTATCTCTCAGAAGAATTATATTAAACAAGCTTTTATCTCTTCTAGAGAGCAATTTTAAAGAAAAATCATTTCTTCATTAACTATACATTGCATAACGCATACGTATTTATTATTAAATATTTCATAATTTGTTTCACTTCAGGAGATCAATAATTCAATATCAATGGGGAGACATATGTTGTGCAGTTGAATTTCCTTTTTTTCCTATTTCTTATAAGCTGACATACAATAGCCCCAATCAATTGAATTGTTATACAAATATAAGCTTGATTGTAATTCTACTATGTGATGATCTTCTAGATCACTAGAAGCCTTGATAGTATGATACTAATTAAATATTCAGAATTTCTACATACAACTTGTATTTGGTGAGCTTCTGGTCACCAACATGTGACAATATATAAGTTATTCTGGTGAACTTCTAGTCATCTATTTCTCTTTCGTATGAAAATTTATTCAAAACGAATATATTATCTCTTGAAATTTTCTTCAACACAAATCATTAAAAATCACAATCCAAATATAGCTCAATCTCAATGTTATGTCTTGCCATTCAATTCATTTTATATATCTAACATTGAGAGAGTGTCAGCACATTATCAAATGAAACTTCAGGTTTCCATAACGGGTATTTATTGAACCCGGATGGCATAATTTAATTATCACATCCAATCGTTTATCTAAATTTAAATTTTGGTCATTTTTCCAACACTAGTGTTTACTTTATTAGATATATTTTATGCATTGCCATGAGTATGATGTGATATTAGAACACCAATGTGTGTTTCTTTATACATTTGGCAAGACAATCAACTGATACTTGAATACTTGATCCAATAATAACTTAGCTCATACCCTGTTGGAGCATTGATTATAATCTTGATACATGCTAATCTTGTTGGACATTTTATACTCTTCTGGAGTATTTTATATAATCATGGTACATAATAATTTTACTAAACATATTCTCTTATATAGATCTAGCATAATGTATCACTTTCTCAAATTTGCTATTGTCAATAATTGCTCTTTCCTGTTTGAAAATTCTTATCTTTGGAACTTAATTGGCTACTATGCTTCAGGCGTGCTTTAGGATCATTAGAAACTATTATTATCTTTCTGGGATATCAATTTTAATTAGAGCATTTACAGTTGGTATATAGTCAATGACATTTATTCATATCCATCTTCAGGATGGTATCATTCTAAATATTTGATTATCATGTGGCCACCTCTATTAAATCATTAAATCATTGATATTTAGGCTAGTGTATGTTCCAAACTGACCGTCAACATATTTAATTATTCATGTGCAAGGATTACATAAAAACAATGGAATAAACACTATCTCCCCCTAATCCTTGCATATGGGGGTATAAAAATAGTCCAACAATCTTTAAATCCCTTGCTCCTTTTAAGCCATTAATTCTTTTAGCAACGCATGTGTTAAACAAAGCAAAGTTATTATTTTCCTCTTGCCTAATTATATAAATCTTTATATTGAAAATTCTCAAAAGTATGGGCATAGTGAATACATTGTTCAAATAATTAATTAATCTTTTCACAATGTCATACTTAGATAATTTTATTTCAAATGAATATTATGTACTTATGTTTATAATTATTATGAACTTTACATGAATGATAAATATCATGCAAACATATACCTTTTAATCATAAGAATTATCATTCACTTCTGGGAATGAGTAAATTCAATTATTTATCAACATTAATATATATATATAGATCGAGTTCAATATCTTAAATGTGCAACCAATAGACAATATTAGAACTAATCAAGATATTTGTATATTTTTCTCTTGAAATTTGATATGTTCATATTTTATAGTGATTTACCCCCATCCCTTGGTCATTTTTAGGAGTATTATTGGCTCTTCAGAGTCACTTTTATTACTAATATGCGTTTTCTAGTGTTTTCGTAGTTTTGGTTCTATTTTATAGAAAATTGCAGATTTGGAGCATTTTCCCGCACTTATGTTTAGCCTCTACGAGCATTGGAGAATTATGATCGTATTTCATAGCTCAAGACCGGTTGGAGTCATCAAATCGGTGATTAAAGGCTTGGCATAGAAGAGATCGAGGCAATGGACCAAGTATCAAGACCCAAGAGGAATTTGGAATTGGGCCAAAAGAATTAGGCCAGAAGGTCCAGCTCTGCCCGAGAGCTCGCCCGACGGGGCAAGCCCTCGCCCTGAGGCGCGCCTGGCTGGGCGAGGCGTACAGAAGAAAAAGACTCTTCGCCGGTGTCGCGCCCGACCGGATGCGAGTGAAGACTAAAGACTCAAAAAAGGCGGGCCCGGCCCGGGCGAAGCTCCGACCGGTCGGGCGTGTATTTCTGAAGAGTTTTACAATTTATTTTGTTTTATCTTTTTAGCCTAGTATAAATACGTTTTAGTTAAGGAAGTTAAGGACGATTTTTCACTCTCTTCCTTAAATTTTCGGATTTAGTTTTAAGTTGTTGTTAATACTCTTATTTCCTCCCACTACACTCGGGAGTTTTATGCAATTCATTACTTTCATTAATTTTGGAAACGATTCCTTCCCTTTCATTTTCAGCAATTAATTTCTTTGATTTATTATGTCTTGCGTAATTGCTTTAATTAGTTTAGATTTAATTATGTGTGAGTAGTTTAATTCTAGGGTTTGTGGGGATCCATAAATAATATGAAGGGGTAATTTATTATTGTTGATTGTTAATGTTTTTGATTGATTTCTTATTG